TTAAGATGATTTCAGCTGCTTTGGTCAAATTTTGATAACATTACAGATATGCTCAGGTATTTTCACAAGCTCTGTAGGAATCTTAGAAACAACTTTATTTGCACATTAAACATTTCCACCAACGAAATTTCACTTATACACACACTTAGGGCCTTGGGAGTGAGCAGACTCAACGGCATTTGGCAAGGGGATCTTTCAGCCTCATCCCAAGTGCCGGTGCCCACTTCCAAATTTAAACAGCAGTTAGACACAGAGGGCTGTGGGGGGAAGTGGGGTGGTGTGGTGGCATCAGCTGGCGTAGGCCAGATGATACCTGCACTGCTCGCTCACCACAGCCATGGAATACCCTCATCAACACTCACCAACACTGTATTAGAGCAGGCAGAGGGAGACTAGGGGTCTTAGCACACCTCTGTTGTCGCTTGGCTTCCCGGGGCTGGAGGCTAGGAGGGGGAGCTGGCCATTTGGTTGGGGTCTGGGCTGGTGGGTTGCTTAGCTCAGCGCTGGGTGGGGGAGCCTGCTCATCAGCACCCCAGCAGAAAGGGTCGAACTCTGGGAACCAGTGATGGTTGTACCCCTTGTGCAGCAGTATCGGGACCAGAGTGAATAGGGTGTGTATGGGGAGCGTGAGTGGGTGTCTAGCATTCATTTTTGTAAGTCTTAGGTTGTGTGTGTATGTGTGACCATGAGGGAGGGAGTGTGTGACTGTATAGGTCAGGTGGGGTCTTGGACACCTCCCCTCTCTTGGGACTTCTTGTGCTGCTACACATCTTCTCCTCCCCTCCCCCTGCCACAGTTGGTGCTGAGTGTGGTGCCTTGGTCTGCCTGAGTGTTTGCAGCTCTCAGGTTGCCTGATTGATCCCGGTGGCTGCCTGGTGGGATCTGAGTCCCTAGACTCTGTTGGGTGCCCGGCGGGGCTGGTCACCCCTGGGTCCCGGGCTCAGCCGGCTTGGGGGTGGGAGGCTGCGGGTGGGCCTGTGGGCTGCTGGTTGTGGCCCCCCGGGGCAATCCTCTGCATCTCTCTCGAGGGGGCTGGGGCTTTTCTGGTTACAGTCTCCCTGGGGTCCCTGCGCTCTGGGGCAGCTCCTGGATCTCTGGGACTTGGAGCTCCTTCCATCTCCCACACATCTTGGGGGGGCAGATCTGTGGCCCCTCACACTCTCTATTGGACGCTCCTATAGAGAAACCTTACATATACAAGCACGTGTACACACACAAGTGCTCACATGGTGCTTTCATATATACATACATATATATATTTGGTGTCAACAACATGAAAGCATGGGCCCATCCTGCCTTGTATCAACGATTCAGTCTTCTGCTGTTGGTGTAATGGTGTGCGAGACATTGTCTTGGCACACTTTGGGCCCCGTAATACTATTTATCATCGTTGCAACACCACAGCTTACCTGAATATTGTTGCTGGCCATGTCCATCCCTTTATGACCGCAGTGTACCTTTCTTCTGATGATAATTCCAGCAGGAAAATGCTCCATGTCATGAAGCTCGAATAATCTCAGACTGGTTTCTTGAACACGACAATGACTTCACTGTACTCAAATGATCTCCACAGTCACCAGATCTCAATCCAATAGAGCTAATTTTGGATGTGGTGGAAAGGGAGATTTGCGGACGACAAATGTGCAGAAACTGCATGATGCTAAAATGTCGATTTGGACCAAAATCTCTGAGGAATGTTTCCAGTACCTCTTTGAATCTATGCCACGGAGAATTAAGGCAGTTCTGATGGCTAAATGGGGGTCTAACCCAGTAATAGCAAGGTGTACCTAATAAAGTGACCAGTGAGTGTATATAGGTGTGTGCATGGTCAATTTGATCATCATCTTTTGTTCCTTAAACAAAGGAGTACGACAGAAAATGTGTTTCGAATAATCAGAATAGTAAGAGCTAGTGGTGGGAATCAAAAAGCAGTTCTGTTGAGAACCGGTTCCCACGGTTTTAATTCCTGGCAATCATTTGTCAGTTTTGCAAACAATTCTCATCAATTCCAGTCATCGTGAATGATGTCACCACGCATGTTGCATAGCTTAAAGTAGCAATGTGTAGTTGTTACTGTTAATCTCTGGAAATATCCATGGAAATGTTGAATAAAATGATGTCCACTTTTTGAAAAATTTTGGCCGCTTCATAGCATATGACAATAAAAATCGGGTCTAAAATACATTGGGAGCGGGTCTCTGGGCGATGCCATGTTAATTGCCATGTTTCCTTCTATGTGAGCCTGTGTGGACAAAACTGAGCAGCTCGTCTCGAGCAGTCTCGAGCATCTCGTACCGGGTCCGTGCCGGGGTACGAGCAATACTTTATTAATCCCAGAGGGAAATTAGAGTTTCAGTACACACAATTCAGAGATCAGACATACATGGGCAAGACAGATGACAATTGGTGACTGTGATCATTTGCAACCCTGAGTCTCGCTACATTATTAGAGATAAGAGGGTTACATGAGGATTGGTTCAGGTGGAGGGAAAAACCCACAGCATCTGTCTGCATTCCTTCGTGGGGGTTTTTAGTTGCTTGCAGCTCAAGGCTACCAGGGCGTCAGACTCAGATAACAATTTGTTTGGGTCAGGCTGAGATAATTTTCCTCTCTGCCTTCAGTCTTTAAACTGATCATTTCCAGTCCTTCAGTGAAGCCAATTTTGGGTTTTAAGCTTGTCCATACTGTCCAGTGACTCTCTCTGAGATGACATCCATTTTGCGCACTAATACCGATATCGCAGCTAGAACATTGTCCAGCTTACGATTCACCTCGAGTAACGTCCCAGTCTGAGAAGTCTCCACACGGACGTTGCTTTCCGTGGGTGCGGGTCACCCTCCAATCGCTCCCATCTTCCCAAATTTCCAGAAAGCCAGATATCCTCCCACCCCAATCAGTAGAAATCCAGTCATCATCAGGCCAAATATCCACACGTCTTCGATGTCCTCGATGGACAGCTGGGAGAGGCATATGATGTTCCACTCCTTCCAGGAATCCAACATATACCCCACCGGGTGTGTCCCCTGTGGACATGTGGGAGCCCCCTGCTCCGTTCTCATTGTTGAAAAAATTTTATCGATCGCATTGAATGACCAGTTTATCAGATCCATGGTTAGTAAAAATAGAGTTTTTCAGAAGAAATGCAGAGAAGCGCTCTGTGGGCAGACAGGACAAAGAGCCTTGGGAAAAAAAGATAAGGGAGCGAAAAGAGAACCGTCCGTACTCCTCGAGTGCCTTGAAGAAAGAGCCTGATTAAGCCTGATTTATACTTCTCCGTCTGCGTTGGTGCGGACACACGCAACGCCATTATGCGTCGGCGTAAGGGGTCTCTGACGGGCTCACAGAGGGTGATGGAGACATGCCCAAAATTTTAAACATCCGTCGAAAGTGACGGAGACCGCAAGCTTGTCTTTGGGCAGGACGCCGCTTCCTGTATATTCATCACCAGCACCGCTGTAGCTCTGTTAAAAAGTAAACAGATATTTAGCGGCAGACCAAGAACAGATTGAAGAACGCATCATGGGAAAGTCCGACAATTTGAACGTTTATTCACCAGTGACTGAAGGAGTACGGAGCAAACGTGGACGGCAACGACGGGAAACATGGGTTTAGAGGTGGGGACCGCATGAAGAGGTGAAGGAGAATGAAGGACAAATTTGTCTGTGTTATGAAGTCTCTGAAATATATAAACACATTAGTAAATACACTATTGTGGACTGGACGCATGAGTGTTATGGTGGCACAATACCACAGAACAGTGCTACGCCCTCTGTTGTCCTGGTGGGGAATTGCTTTGCAACACTCCGCTGCCTCTTTCCGACACTCTGTGTATGTCTCTCCATTGCGGAGCTCACAGAGAAGTATAAACCAGGCTTTGGTCTACATTTGGCATCAGGTGGTGGTGGTGTTTATTTATTTATTTTGTGTTTAAAGTTGGTGTGTAATTTCCAGCCACTAGAGGGCAGTACATACATACATTTCAGGGTAGTTTTACACCACATAACCCTGACAGCCACTAGTTTATAAAACATTACAGTAAATGTTAGCTGTAGAGCAAAAAGAATGCAACCTTGGCGTGACTCCTCAGACTTTGATTGTTCTTGAGGTAATTCCATAAGAGAATGCAATGCCAACTGTTTTCACGCGCTACGCTTCCGGATCTGCTTGGGTGCTTGCGCCTGCTGATGTCATCTTACTACGTCAACACCGCTCGGCCAAAATCTGTTGCATCTCTTTTTCAAATCTATTCTTTTATGTATGATTTTGAAAAAGTTTAACGGTTTTGTAATTACATTTGTGTTTCTTACTGCCTAAATGTTTTTAAACGAGGAAACATTACAGATCATACAAAAGTTGTATGAACAGCCAGTGATCTGGTGTGACGTCATCGACCACCGCAGGACCCCAAGGAAACATAGCTTCCCCCAAAGAGGTCAGACCTGCATTTTATGTACTTAAGACCTGATTTTTATTGTCGTATGGTAAGAAGCCGCCAATATTTTCCTACAACTGGACATCATTTTATTCATTTTCAACGTTTTGATGGAAATTTCCAGAGACTGAAGGTAAAACCCATTGATTGTCTCTTTAAGAGACATATTGTTTTGAAATCTGTATTTTTTTTTATTGGCTACTGCTTCGTTTTAATCGAATCTGCAGAAATTTATAAGATATTCCCACAAATAGCTGCCACTGCCTCAGCAATATGTAGCTCTATAGTAACTTAGCTAAGGTCGGTCAGCTGTAGAGGCCACACACACACACACACACACACACACACACACACACACACACACACACACACACACACACACACACACACACACACAGGCACAGAATACTCTGCATTTGCCTTTTACAGCTCGCTAGTTCATTTTGGTTAAAGTGATATTTTTCCAAATGACCCTTTGGAAGCTCCACCACATGCCCTGGATAGAAAAACACAGATCTTAGATAAAAAATAAATCAGAAAACACACAAAAAATATATATACAAGCCATTATCAAATGTTAACTCTTTATTTGAATAAGTAAAAAAGGTGCAGGTATCACAGATCTGTCTTGTTCTCATTGTTGCATGAAACTGACGTTTTTGCTCTCCTAAATTATATTTACATGTGGAATCTCCAAACTTTTTTTGAGTCATGTACAGAATTTGCATCTAAACTGGTTTTTAAAACATTTATTAAAGTGCTTTTTTCCTTCTATTATAACAACACAAATGTCTTTACATAGTGATACTGTACAGGTCTGCGTGTGTGTTATGTTTCAGGCTACCTGCTTCCAAGCTGCACATCTGTGCAGGTGTGTCACAGAGGTTGTACAAGTAGTCCAATTAGTTCATTATTTTGTGTTTAAAGTACAATTGAAACTTGACATATACAAATAAATAGTAGTCATAGCCAGAGCTATTGCATGCAAACATCAGCAATTATGTTTCTTCAAGCAGTAATACATTTCATTACTGGTGGTGCATTAGAGCTGGGTGCAAAAGGAACTCTGAGTGTTTACTTACACAATTTCTAACAAGTGTATTTTTGCTGTATGTGGTGATTAAAAAAAAAAAGTCAAGATAACGTACTCTACATAATGTTAAATAAAAAGCATGGTTGAAAAATCTGACCCGTGTATTGAAATGACAAGGGGTGGGGGGGGGGGGGGGGGGGGTGGCAATAATAATATGAAATTCTACTCCTTGTCCATTTCCACATACTGTGAATGGTTATCTGGGGATTTGCTGTGAGTTTTACTCAGGTGGAGTTTGACTGCATGATTACTGGCAAATGTCCGACAGCAGAGCTTACATTTGAACTTAGAGTCCATGTCCTCCTCCGTGGTCAGAGCCTCAGGGACTCGGACACTCAGAGCCTTCAACATTTCGGGCTCCTCGAACTTGGTCTGGTGCTCTACCTGCATTTTGCACATGTCTTTGATTTGGAATCCAAGGTGGGATTCCAGGTGGGAAATGAATGTGGTTGGTGACCTAAACTGGGAAGCACAGTCATTACAATAGAAGACTGGGTGGCCCGTGTCCATGTTCTTCAGAAATTTGGTCCCTCCCGTTTTCCGAAGCTGGTATTTTACATTTGCTAACCAGTGGCTTATGGTGGTCATGGACAATCCGGTGAACTTGGAGATGTGCATCCTCTCCTGGGGGCCGAGGTCGGACAGCAGGTACTTTCCCTCTGATGTCTGGAAGAGGCTGGAGGCAAACTGAGCCTGCAAGATGAGAAGATGGCGAGGATTCCAGTTGGACTGTCTGCCTTTGCGCTTGTGGACCGAGTAGACCTCAGCAGACACGTCTTCGAAGCGTCGGACGTCTGATTCCAGTTTCATGGGGGCAAGCCTTGACGGTATGGCAGGCTTTGGTGTGGTGGCCTTAGGCAGAACTTTGACCATATCTGCAATGTCTGACAGAGCATATTTCTGTGGCATTGGTGCAGAGGGCTGCAGCAGCAAAGAGCTGGCCTTGCTGTGCTTAGATTTTGTCAGGTCTATTGGCTGGTCGTCGTTCACTAGTAGAAATGGGTTATCAGGCCTATTTCTTACAGGACTTCTGAGCATTAAAGCTGATTTCTCACTGCTCCGAGTAAAATCAGCAAAGATAGACTGTGCGTGTGCAGATATTTTATCTACTCTTGCATTATTGGGCTTGTTTGCTTTACCCAGATGATTGTTGAGAACTGACTGTAATGCACTAAGAGGGTTAACGCCAAGTATATCCAGAGTGTCACTGAGAGGCTCTGATGTAGTGCTGCGTCCATTGCTGGCAGCAGGGCTCGGCGTCTTGCCTCTGTCAGAGAAATCTGGGCTCAGCTTCCCTTTCATCGCGTCGCCCTCCTCATTCCCACAGTCTACATCAAGCTTTGAAGAAGAAGAGGAATCATCCTGACAATCGCTGTCATCATTCTCCAACTGATCAAACTTTATATTCTGACTTTCTTTACCATCGCTAATGCCAACCTTTTCTTTCTTTCTGTCCATGTTTTGATGCGGTCCCTGAGGAGCCTCGACTCCCGCGGCACCGTGGTATAACTTCCCCTTTGGGGCAATTGGCCTCAGCTTGTGGTTAAATGTCTGCTTTAGCTGAGCAGGAGGAGAAGCAGAGAGAGGGGCGTTTTTGATGATACCAGAGAGCTGGTAGGCAGCGTGGATGCTCGGGTAGGCGCTCCAGCTTGGTGTCCCTGTTTGGGCTTTGTTGATGGCAGAGGCCACTGTATTGGCCAAGGATTTAAGGATGTCCCCTCCTCCACTCGCCTCTTGTTCAAGGTCCTCCTCACGGAGGTAAGGGTATTTAAAAGAGCCATTGTTCACTTTTTGATCTTCATTCTCTTGCTTGTCATCTTTTGTTTCATTCTCCTCTGTTTTGTCAGAAGTTCCTTCCCCCTGGTCATCCTTCTCACCACTCGCAGGGGAGAGATTTTTCGTAGACATCTTTTCTCCTTCACTATCACTGGCAGCAGGCTCAGCTATGCTCTGTATCTTCTCTACGGCCAGGGGATCGAGCGTGAGCTGTTTGCCTTTTTTAGAAGCCGAGTTTGTGACTTTGATGAAGTGTCCGGTGACCATCATGTGTGTAGTGAGCTGCTGAAGGGTGTCATGGGAGCTTCCACACTCCATGCATTTGAGAATCTGAGACTTGCATGTCTCAAACTGCCAAGTGTAACTTGCACCATTCTGGTATCCGTAGCGATTGTTGTTAGCGTTTGAAAGGCTGGCGGTCCGTTGAGCCTCAGTGTATCCGGATACACCGGTGGTGGAGTCTGGGGAGCAAGGTCTTGTTGCTTCAAAGGCTCTTTTCTTAGCTGGTGGGAGCAGCTTAGGTGTGATGACTGGTATCGGCTCCTTTAAAGGCACTTTTTGGTAATGCTTGGTTTTAATCATATGGACGCTCAAATCCTGCAGTGAGTCAAATGAATGGCCACAGAACATGCACTTCAAAACCTTCTGTGCATCCTCTTTCCCCTCCACATCATGCAAATTCCGTTTCCTAGATTTAGAAGACGAAGCAGAGGAGTTACTCTGTTTGTGGTTGTTGTCTTGGTAGTGACCAGACTTGTTCATATGGACAGTCAGCTCTACTAGGGTGTCATATGCAGCGCTACAATCCTTACATCGGAAACGGCTTGCTCCGGTGAACACGGAGCCACAGGGCTTGGCGGTCTGCCTGTATAGGTGGACAGAGCTGAAAAGGTTAGGTTTGGATGCAGGTTTGGGGGAGAGCGTCTGCTGTAAGGTCTTTGAGAGTGCATCCTGGTGCCAGTCAAACTCGCTCTTGCTGCTTCCATTTGTGCTGTCACAGTTAGCTTTGTTGGCATTTTTTAAGTCCATCCCAATCCCCGTCCAGTAGGAATCAGACAGGAAGTTTGCATAGGCCGCCCTCATTTTTTCCAAGCTACTACCTGTCTCATCTTTGTGTTTTGAGCCTCGACTTTCTTCATCCCTCTGACTCTCGGGCGGTGAGGAGGTTTTGAAGTCTGACAGTCTGTCACTGCTGTCGCTAAGGCGCGATTCCAGGTCTGCATCTTGATTTGAAAGGACACTAATTGGGGAATTCTGGTTGCTGTAGGTGTGGGTGCTCTTGTTGTCCAGGTCTCTGTCCTCGGACAGCTTGGGGCTGGTCTTCTCTGAGCACTCTTCCTCCGTCTGAGTGTCATTCTCACCGTCTTCTTCAGTGATGGAATCTTGAAGAACAGCGTCTTCATCAGGCATGTACACTAGAAGAGATGGAGAAAGGAAAGCATTACATTAAAAACAACGTATGACACCTGATTAATACTTTTATAAAATAGTATATTTATATCACAGACAGAGAAAAGCAAAGAGGTTTGAGACATTATTAGCGTCCGATGGATACTTGGATATATATATGTGTATATATATATATATATATATATATATATATATATATATATATATATATATATTAGACCACTGCCTCAACTCATCACGTGTCTCGCTCCCACCCATTCTCACATACCCATAAGAATATATATATATATATATATATATATATATATATATATATATATATATATATATATATATATGTATGTAGAGGTGCCAGGCTGGAGGGGGCGCCAAAGCGATGATGCAAAACATACTTTTAGCCTGCATTTCCTGTGATTAATAACAACTGTGGTTTTGTCCATTTTTGTATCTGATAATTATTTAAATAATAACAGAAAAGCACGACAGTGATTAGGCTCCCCCTCCACTTCTGAGGTTGGTCTGAGGTATAAAACTCTGCCCTGGGCCGAAAGCCCTGCAGATATAGTTAGTTTCTATATTATCACCAACAACAAATAACAGCAGCTGGATTCTACTTGGTTCCTTAAATTGAGTCGTTCTGGACGCTCACATGTTCACCAGCATCATTGCCAGCTGATTGGTTCTTTGGTAACTAGTGACATCAGTGCAGTTCTGGTACTGAGCAGCACGGATGCAGAGGCTTTCGCTGTAGTTGGTTCAAAATGGATTAATGGCAGGACAGGATAAATAATATAATACATAATATTATTACAACGCCATGAACTTGTGTAGATCCTGTGACTCAACCTTTTTTCTCAAATTGCACCAGACTGATGCTTTGAAATAGAGAATGTCCAAAATTTGCCCCCGGACCTCCCTAGAGTAGTTGAATACTTATCACGTGTTTCACCTCTGATCTTTTTCATGTCTGCTCTTTGGTGCTAGTGAGTTAAAATAACTACAAGATATTTCAAAGGCACTTAAAAAAAGACAGTTAAAAAGAATGGGCTTGGGAAAGTGGTGTGTGTGTGTGTGTTCGGTGAGTGAGTGTGTGTGTGTGTGTGTGTGTGTGTGTGTCAGTGGGGGACTATTAAGTGCATACCCCTCCAAAAGTAGGAAGTTGCGCCCCTGATCTCTGGGATCTGTTCATGCTGACGAGTTTGTAGGCCTGTCTGAGTTAACGCCTTAAACATTGACACAAATTTTCTTTGACGCTGTTCGTTTTTAACGTGCGATTAAGGCTTCCAAACTTTCTAGACCTTGCTTGTGATGTAGTTTCAACAATATTCCCACCACAGTTTCAACCGTCTCTCCCATTTAAGTCCATCTCTGAAAAGAAGTTCCCGTCTCTCTCCTCTTCCCATGTGCACACGGCACCCTGCACCACCGAGCTCTGCTCAACACCAACTGAACGGGAGGGAAACTCATTGTTGTCGATAAAAATGTTTTACCTGCACTTGTTCACTACTGAAGCTACACTAAACTTCTAAAACATGAAAAAATCATCAGAACAGCAGGAAGAAACTTCAAAACAAAACATTTAGCTTGCATTTTGCTCAAAACATCCTCATCTTTTTTCATTTGACGACAATTTTTTATGTTGCATTGTTTGGACCAAACCTATAAAACACACATTAAAATTACCTAAAAAATTGGATAAAAAAAAAAGTTTTGCACGTTTTATATTTTTTATATGTCGTTCTGTACTGAAAGTCTTTATTCTGCTGCCACAAATCTGCTTCGTGAGAATGCTCAAAAACAGTCTTTTTGATATTTATAAGCAGAAGAAAATAATATTTTGCGATAAATATTGTTACCGCACGTGCAATAAAGGTTTGATTCCTACTGGGAGAAGACATGGGCACAACTGCTGCTGGTGCAACTGCACCATTTGATTCACGACGACCATTGACTTAATGACGTGTCAAAGGGTTTTCCAGCATCAATTTGAGATGTTTACTGGCCACTGAGTGACGAAAGGAAATCAATTAATCAGGAGTCTGTTAAGTGTTATTGCAAATGAGCGATTCCATGGTGATAATAGGTGCTTGAAAACTGTAAATAGAAATGTTTCGGATCAAGTCTCTACTTCCTCAAAGCTGTAAATCAGGGATCTGCAGCCGGCAGCTTTGAGGCCAAAACCCTGTAACGTAGATCAAAATGACACAAACCTGACATGAAACAGAAACCATCATTTCAGTACCGCATTTAAAGCTGGGGAATGTCATTTTATAGTTTTTAAAGTAAATAAAAATGCTCACATTTGGCTTTCTGACCTGGTCCTGTGACCTGAACTTGTACCTTTCTGAGCCGGATGACTCCAAATCACTTTTCACCCATTTCATTCACCTAATCGCAAACTGATGGCGACGTAGTCACAGCTGCCCTGGGGCACACCAACAGAAGCAAGGCTGGCACAGGCACCACCGGTCCCTCTGACCACCTCTAGCTGGCAAGGAGGCTGAAATGTCTTGCTCAAGGACACTAAGACAATAAACAGAGCCGAGGATTGAACCAAGAGGCCCCCCGGTTACAGTGCAAACTCCGAACCCCTGAGAAGGTAATCTTTCAGAATGCGTTCTGGCTTAGATCATTGACCCATAGATTTGCGTGTCCACAAGAGGGAGCTGTCAGATCCCAGCATGCATTACGGGGCGACGCCAGAAGAAGCTGGAAGTTTTCAACGGAGCTACGAAAATAAATAATGACTATATTTTACTTCTCAAATTTTTTATTAATTATTAAATAAAAATAAGTAAACATTTTGGAAGTCTTTCTCCAAAACTCGCAATCGTGATCTACAAGGGCTCAGAACAGACAAGGTTTCTTTTGGACAGTTAAACGCTGAGTATATTATATCATTGTATTTTAGAGAATTATAACCAAACTCGTATTTAAATAAAATAAATAATAATGTCGATATTTGTTGTATGCTGTGTATACCATAGGCCAATATGGCGCTAGTTTGAATGCTAACTCAAACTGCATTGAATTAATGTGAGTCTGTAAACTTCCAGCTAAGCGTGGAAGAGGAGTGAGTGGAACAAAAATGGATTCATCTTTGGTTTATTGTGAGTGTTGGAGCTAACAGTGTGATGAATCCGAATTTGTGGGTCTCGTAAACGCGGCAAGGAGCAAAACGAAAAGGTGATAAAACTCGATACTGATGCGCTTAGCCTCGTAGTAATATTGCTGCAAGAGCCCCTCGCCTCTGACGGCTAAAGGCGCGTCAGCCCCGCTAATCCCTTTGGAACGACTGTGGGAGCACCCACCCCGCCCCCCACCCCACCCGCGCAACATAGGGTGGTCGCGTTAGTAACGTATACTGCGCGCCGAGTGCCGGCCGGAAGGGATATGGAACATGGCTAACTGGACAGACGCGGAGACCATGGGGCTTTTGGCCGTGCGAGCGGACGAACAGATTAGTCGCCTTTTTACGGGGGCGGTGAGAGACAGCCAGCTGTTCGACAGAGTGGTGAAAACCCTGGCTGAGCGGGGCGTCAAGCGGGACAAAAAGCAGGTCACATCAAAGCTAAAGGTCCTGAAAAAGACATTTCATGGGTCTGACATGTCTTCCGACTGACGCTGAATGCGCGACCCTGTATGTCACATGCGCGCGGGGTGGGGGGGTGGGGTGGGGGTGGGGGCGGGGGGGGGGGGTGGTTAGCGACCTCCCTTTATCCCTTTTTTTTGGTTTGAGAGGTGCCTGATGGCAGTTTATTCTAGCTTCAGCTTTGCTACCATAAATGCCAAAACCCTCCCCAGGGAACCGCGGCGAGTCCCGTTTTGCAAACGCTACGGTCCTGTAACAGCTAGACTGGGAAAATGTTGGATTATTCTATTGCTGCTTGGCGACTATGCATTCGTGCATTACTTAGGAAAAAAAAAACGATCTGATACTTTGAGTTTCTGATTGGCTGACCTCTGATTAAGCCAGTTTTGACCAGTTTCACTCATTTTTTAGGGTATCTTCTGTTTTTGATAAAGTAACAAAACGGCACAACAGTAAAACATAGGGACGTGATTTTATTGACAGTGAAATTAAAAATAAGCACAAGCTGGTTGAGAAACTGTTTCAGTTCTAAGTGTTACAATTAGACAATTATACCAAATTTCAGAAGATAACTGACAATCTGTCACATCATTATATTTTCCCTGACAGACTCATGAAGAGCAATTGCTCCTTTCATTATGCATATGTTTGTTTTCTCAACTCTTGGAGCACAAACATTATTGCTTTAATTAACAGATAATTAAACAACAAAATTTCTAATTGACACGTTTCCCATCATCCAGCTAATGGAAACTCTGTCTCGGGCAGGCTGTGCTTCCCACGAGCACGGCTGCAGACGACTCAAACGCGCTTCCCATCAATAACATTTTTAGATTATTTAAACAAAACCACCTTTAATTGGACATGCATTGACAAATCCACAAATGTTATTTTTCAGACATCTTTTGAAGGTGACCTGCAGGAAATGCAGTTTGTCAGATTTGTCAGACATCTGAGATATTTTCCACCTCGGTCTTGTAGGAAAACACGCATTTTGGGAGAGACGCGGCAGATGTGCACCCTGTTAAATATGAATGGGACATAACTGCTCCATCCAGGCACTTGTGCACTTCATGTGGTTAATATTTCTCTTCTGAATAGAAGGCACTTCCACAAAGGGGTGGCTGTGGCCGAGCACTCAGGCGTCCCACACTGGGCAGCTCAAAGAGCGTCTTCATCATCATCATCATCTTCTGAAAATAAGACTTTTTTTTCTATCAATATTTCACAAGTGCCTCAAGAGAAACCCCAAAGATGAACTGCTTTCCTGTTAATGGACAGGGATGGAGAAGGGAATCGGACTTTCAAAAGAAACCCAAAGAACGGAGCTCCATGAACAACACACACACACACACTCACACACACACACGTCAGGAGCCCAAATGCAGTGTGACCTTGATCCACAGCAGGGGG